CATTGTCTATTTTTCAAACTGGATGTGAGTTCAGGGAAACAGACCATGCATTAGCACCGACCAGAACAATTCAGAGACATATTAGGCAAAAAAGTTTAAAAAGAACAGTTAATCCCAGTCAGACTAGACTGTAAATCTTCTCCCGCATCACTGAATTCCACCATTTCCCTCGCTGTAGGGGTAATGAATGAGCCAGCAGAAACCCTACGAGTTTTCACATCCTCAGTCAATTAACTCCGTGAATTGAGCACTGGGTTTTGGACCAGGAAGTTCTGTTTTTGACTCCTGGAGGCTCCATTCAGCCCCTCACCCTTGTAGAGATCAGCAAATTGAGTACCATTTCCCTAAGAAGTTCGTTGGGTCAACTTAGAGTTGAATTGGCAGATTCTCAGTATTCCTAACTGAATAACCTGTGTGACTCTGACATGTTGGTCAGGGCATATCAACCCTGCAAGTCTGTTCCTAAGGTTAGATGGTTCTAGCTGTACAAGTACTTTTGCCCATAAAGTACATAAAATATATCCTGTGAAGTACTTTGAGATGTCTCAATGACGTGATAAGGCGCCATATCAATTGCAAGGATTACTATTATTACAGTGAATTGCACAAGGGTTTTATATTGGTAAGTGATATGATTACTACTTGTGCATTGAGAACTCAATTTTGCAACAGGCATGGCAACTAATCTACAATGGAACCTATACAAACATTGGAAGGTTGGAAGTCGAAAGAGAAGAGGATGTTTAAGGCTGAAACCTCAAATGTCAAACAAGATACATCTTGGCCCAGTGAAGTGCCTCAGTCAATCCCTCCTGACCCAGCGGAAAAGGTTCATGTTATACTTGGTTTTGATGAACATATAATGTAGCACAAACATGAAAGAGTCCTTCAGCCTTAAATAAATTCTCTACCAAATTTTTAAGTGTTTCCCACAGACAAAAGTTACTTCAGCTATCAGGAAAGGAAATGGCCTGCCGATTAGAGCTTTGCAATTCCCAAATATAGCTTAGCTGGGCACATGCTTTGATGAATTTGCTTTGAACCTAGAAATCTCAGTCTAACAAAGCATCTGCACACAAGAGCACAGAATGTCTCTTGAACTCTCATTTTGATTTTAATTTATCCCTATCCTCTGAGATTACTTGTCTCCAGTGTAACGCAAGGAAGTCAACTAGAGGGAAGATATTTTTTCCTCCCTATCTTTCAATATTCTCCTCTCCTGCTTCTTATTTGAGGACCTTTCCCTTCTACTAGGCTACTGTTCCATGGGTTCAGTGTGCTCTTTCATACGCCTGTGATTTTCACCAGATTATAACTGCACAGCATGGGGATGATTACAACATTTCAAAGTTATCACAGGGAAATCATTATGAAATGCCACAAGTGTCACCCCACGGTGAACGTAGATTTTGGAGACCACTTGCCTCAGTAAGCCCGTGCTCGCTCTTTCTCTTTTTCTGTTTCTCACCCACTCAGACGTGGAATCCGTGGAGCGTGTTTGGTGTGGCTTCACCCTACCTCTGCGACCTATTAAAACTTCACCAACCTGTCCATCCCTGCTCTGCAAGCACTGGCCTACTCCATATCCCCCCCCTGCCTGCTCCACTGTCAGTGGTCGGACCTTCAGCCTTTCTGCCCCCATCCTCTGGAACTCCATCCCAGAGCCCCTCCACCTCAAACCCTCCTTCAAGGCCCATCCTTTTCGATCGTGCCTCCACCCCCCTTGCTCTCCACACCTTAGCCGCAGTTTGGGTGGAAACCTCTCATTGTCCTGCACTTTGGGATGTCCTCCCGGTGTGAATGGCACTACATAAATGCAGTTTGTTGTTGTTGTATATTTTATTGGGCGAGTAGTGAGGAACAGGAACAAATTGGAGACCAAAAGAAAATCAGTCTTTGTTAGTTGGAAAAATAGTTTGTGTAATTGGCCGATAAAGTGGACCGTATGGGGAAACCAGACTGATAGAGGCAAAGCAAAACACTCTTTCATACAGTTCTCCCCACAAATTCCTCCAGAAGCGATCAAGTTCGCCTGACTTCTGCCAAAGTATAACGGGTTACTTTGTTCCTAGAGAAATCTTGGAAAGGGAAATGAGCATTCCTGCCTGTGATACATATCAAAAGCGTTTTGTATCAAATCACATTCAAAATAAAAGTTTGCCCTGGGATCATGCATATTATCACGACTGAAATTGCAAGGTTGTAAGATATGTGCTGAGTTAGCTGGTGCTCAAATACTATAATTGATTTTAACTCCCTGGACTTGAAATGGAAAACAAATCAGGGTTCCTGCTCTAGATCTCTCTCCAGTGAAATTGGGATGTCCACTTCAAGGCTGAATAGTGACTGAGTAGACTCACCCTTCAGAATCATCATCACCCAGCGTCTGTGGGAACTATAGCCCACCATGAGCTAGCTGGCTCCAAGGTGACATGCTTGGCAATGGAATATTGGAATGGAGCCAGCCCTCTGTGGCGGTCTTGGTAGTTTGGTTCCTGAGCCAGGTGGGTCTGCAGTATTCCAGGCACTACTACTGACTGTACAGCCAGCCTGACTCATTGTCAGGACCTGGAAAGGCAGACCAGTCACTGGAGGCAGGAAGTCATCCCACTCAGTTCCTGTTAAGTCCTAAATGGGTAGGGTGGCCCTAGCTGGACAATCAGCAGGAAAGCTTGCCAGCCAGTGATATCAATGGCAAGCTATGTGGTTTCAGCTGGTAAGACTCCAGCAATATCCCAACACACACTCCAGGGTCCCTAAGCCTTGGCTCTTGCCAACATGCGCTTAATACTTTCCAGAATTGGGTAAGCAGGATACGTCCCTCCAGGGTGAGAATGTGCATTCCATTCCAACACGCTATCTCTGGAATTTCAATGTATAGGTGGGATGCATGGAATTCTCAGCTTGGTTTTGGATACTTCTAAGTACCATGATGAGCTTCTGCATGTGTCAGGACACCTGGCTGAGCCCCCCCAAAAAATCAGCTAACACCTCCAGGGGAGGAAAGGGAGAAAGAGTTTGGGGTTTTCTTTGGAAGAAATACATTGATTCCAAACAAGCGAATGGTCTGGTTTACAATGTCTCTGGTTCATTCAGGGATAAATACTCCTTTGTTATGGTCAAGGATTTTAAAGGGCATGAAGAGCAGACAAGGAATTGGGATAAAAAGATCTGCCGTGATCCAATAAACTGGGAGTTTCTCCCAATATTCTGGTCAACAATTCCCCAAACAGAATTGGTCATTCGATTCATGGCTGTTTGCGTGACATTTTTGTGTGCAAACTGTCTGCCACATTTGCCTACACAATACACACTCACCACACTTTACAATGAAGATAATATTTATTGTAAAGTGTGGTGACTGTGTATTCTGCATAAACAACAACAAATTACATATGTATAGTGCCTTTCACATCAGGAGGACGTCCCAAGGTGCTGAAACTCCACTTTGAGACGTCCTCCTGACGTGAAAAGGGCTATATCAAATGCAAAGATTATTGTTATTGTATTGAAACAAATTTGATAAACCGTGCATACCCCATCATGCTTCAATGTGCAGTTAGCAGAGACGTTAAAACGATACAATAACCAGCTTGACGAACTGAATGCCCTAGTGATCCTATGGTCCCATTCCCGGTGGGCAAACATATGCGTACAAATATCAATTTCAGGATTTTATTGCCTTGGGAGAGCTTTCAAAAATTCAGCGATTAATAGCTCAGCAGGAAGCCGATGGTAAATGTCAGATTCGGATCAGAGAAAGGTGAACTGAAATAAAGAGTTCCACATTGATGGGGAGAGAGGAATTGTTTTTGTTTTTTTAAAAAAAACCTTGCATGTATTGGTGCTGTGTCCAACGTTTCTGCTCTGGAAATTCCAGCAACATTTTTTGCGAGTAGCAGATACTCAGTACTGGCAAGCAGTCACCCTGACTTCCTGGCTGACATCCGGCAAGTGTAGCCAAAGAACAGAATACTGAGGCTTTATTAAACGAATCCAGGCCACCTGCGTCCTTCAAGTCCTCTGCTCTCTGCAAACTGAAACACGATGGGGGCATCGGCCGGAGGAAAGGATTTCATTTCTCTTGCAAATAATACAAATTACAAGGGTCAAGCAACTTTTTATTTTTTATTGTGCAATCCAAAGATTCTAGTACTGACTTGAAATGGTTCTTCGTGAAGATCAGGGCCTTTTAGTTATAAATCCTGAAGCACACAAGCTCACCCGAGCTTGGATTGGAAGGCTACGTTAAAGTTTAGCTGCTACTAGCGTTCCTGAAAAGGATTTTTTTTGGTCAGCTGGGTGGAAACCCATCTCTGTGCTTAAGACTCTCCAAACCAGACTGAGATTTCCACATACAAATTCCCCCTACATAAGGAAATTTCCGTATCTGGAAAGGAATGCGGACTCTCTCCCTGGAGGGAAACATCCTGCTTACATAATTCCAGAAAATATTAGGTGCAGATTGGCGAGAACCAAGGCTTGAAGACCCCAGAGTACATGTTGTACTAACAAACTAAAACTGCATTGAGAGCCCTGTCTGGCGAACTTCCTGCTCCTTGTTCAGCTAAGACCACCAAACAAGGGGATGGATTGCAAGGTTAACAGGAGCCAATTGGGAAGAATCTCTGGTTTCACTCTGCTCCTCTAAGTTCTGCTGACGAGGCAAGCTCGCTGGTCTGTCCTCAGCAGTGCCCTGGACTCCTGCAGATCCGCTTGGCCCAGGGACTGGGCTATCTGAACCACCACAGAGGATTGACTTGATTCTGACATTCTCCTACCAAACACATCACCTTGTAACCATTTAATCCCCATGGAGACTTAAATAATCCTTGCATTTAATATTGCGCGTTATCGCAGAATATACTGTAGAGTGAATTGACCGTATATTTTGTGGGCAAAACACAGCAGACAAATGAGCACAGCAGTGTCCCACAAACGGTCATGGATTAAGTGACAAAAATCTAAAAGACTGTGAACAAACTCAAAAGAATTTTGAGTCGGCTGAAGATTCTCAATTCCTTTATTTATTTTCAAGAGAGATACCTTCTGGCTCAATATTTTCGTGTGTTGACTGGTCGCCACTTACCACACATACACAGCTTCACAGTCCACAATACACAGAAATGATACTGTTTTTACAGAACTTAAAACATTAACAATTTTAATACTTAACGGCTTCAAATATATTTTATAAAAAAAATGGAATACACCTTTTACATAACTGTAGTTTATATGTTGGTAGAAATATATGAAGATAGATCCATGCTTTTATTTGAATTACTTTCGCATATAAATCTGGTTGGTTTGGTTTTCATTCCTTGTCTTGTTCCGTTTTCCTGCAGGGATTTTTCTTTGGGTCTGACGCCTGCTTCCTTGGAGATAAACATCAGCTTAATTCATGTTTGTGGCTGGGGAGTTTACTGTCCCATTACTTTGATGGATTACAATCGACAAACTGGAAAGGGAGCTGCTATCAATACATAAATGAGAGGGACAGTAAGGTGGGGATGCAGGAAGAATGAAATCAATTGGGCTGAAGGTCCTTCTTCATCCAAAACCTTGTGTGATTGTTTGACGTGTCTGACTGGAGGTGAGAGTCAGACTCAACACTCACAGCGGATCAGTCCCTTAGATCTTAATGCTACTACAGTACTTTAATGATGTGTAATCTTATAGCTTTTAAAAACGTTTGTTTTGATGCACTCATCTAATATGGCAAGCTAACCATCCAAGGGTTCATTTGTGTTTCATCCTCAATTAGTTTTTCCTCATTGGCTTATCTCTAATGACTCCCGTCTACAGACCAAACATTGCTGTTGCTGTTGAATGAATCGATGGGCCGGCTCTGCCCATTCAGCCATCGTCCGATGTTGCTGACTCCTGGTCTTCATCATCGGAGCTACTATTGTGGATCCTCCCATCGCTCTTCATGCTGTTGAAAGTCTTCTTGAAGGCCTCCATCATCGCGTGCGCGAGCTTTTTAGCCTCCAGCTTGCTCTTACACTCCACTGCATGGCAATCCATCTGGTAGGTCAGATCATCATTGATCTCCCTGTAAATCCAGGCAAAGATGTTGGCGCTGATGTTGTGATCTGCTGTGCAGTAGGCGATACGTGCCACCTGGAAGGTATCCATGTGGACGGTCGCCTCACCCTTGGCATCCAAATGGTGGAGCTGGACCTGGAAGGGACGTATCTCTAGAATGGCGTTGCCTGGCGATGTGTCTTCTGGAGTTAGTGTGGGCTTCTCCCACAGCTCAACCACAGACCGTTCAGTGCACCCCGACTTAAACTGGGTCCCTCTGGTTGCTATTTTTCCCAAGTATGTGACCTGTGTAAGAGAGAGAGAGAGGTATTAGCGTGGGCTTCTAGAATTACACATCACTGGCTCGATCAACGTTAGTTGATAAAGCACCTAACCACCAGGTAGAATAGCCAATTGAGAAACAACAGCAGCAACAAAATTACATTATCGGCGCATTCCATTCCATTCCAACAATCTATCTCTGGACTTTCCATGTGTAGATTGGATGCTCTTAAACATGGTGATGGGTTTCCGCATGTGTCAGACACCCTAATTCATCACAGGCACTGACTGCTGAATTGATGTTACAGATGGGTGTACAATCCAATTTTGAGGATTGTATTTATTTTTCAATCCTTTCGTTTGCCCTTTGCGCCTCACCCTTACTTGGCAAGTGCACAAGGAAGCAACCTGTCCCCAGTGCTCTGGCAGCTTAATTGGTCACTAGAAAACCATCAGTTCTAATTGACTTGCCCTAATTTTAAGGCTACACCGTCAGTTATGGTGTCTTTACCAGAGAAGCATTGTCCCCTATCTGATCCGTCAATTCCTGTCATTTTAATCACCTCAATCAAATCAATCCTTAAACTCCTCTGCTGTAAGGAACATAACCCCAGGCTCTTTGATATGTTGCAATACTTTAGGTACTCTATCAAACACCAAGGATTATTTTAGTTAACACCAGTGATTAATATTCAAACCTGCACTTTGCTTTTCTGAATGAAAGCATTTCCAGTACCTTCGCTGCACAGAGACAAACAATCTGAGCCGAGGACATTATGTGCTTAGGGTTTGCCTCATATTCCAAGAACCCTGATTCCCCAGCGATGCTGGGATGCTGAAGACGGGAGAAACTCCATGTTGGCAGCCTGGAGTTAGACTGTGGATTAAAGGCTGTGCTATTTGTCTTTGTCAAAGGTCTCAGAAGAATTGTTTCCACGTTTGGTTGCTACTGTTGGAGATTGGCTTGCCTACAGCCTGTTACTTAGCAGCAGAATGTCTTTTCCCTCCAATGTTCCAGAGAGCTCTAAAGAGATTATGTCATGGGACCTTTAACGTCCATATGAATAGGCAGGCGGGACCTTGATTTAGGGTCTCACCTCGCCTCTGATAACTCAGCATCTCCCCCAGCACTATCCTGGAGGATCAATTCAAATGTTCAAGACTGAGGATAGATGTTTTGTTAGGGCAGGGTATCATGGGATAATAATAATAATCCTTGCATTTGGTATAGCACTTTTCACGTCGGGAGGACGTCCCAAAGCGCTTCACAGAACACACTGTAAAGTGAATTGACTGTACATTTGTGGGCGAACACGGCAGCCAATTGCGCACAGCAATGTCCCACAAACAGCCGTGGATTGAAAATGACCAATTTATTATTGTTTTTGGTTTTGGAGGGATTATTATTAGGCTCTGTGTGGAGTAAGGAAACTTGCCCAAGGTTTCGCCCTGCCTGGTCTCTCGCTTGCAAAGCGAGTGCTTTAATCACTGAGCTACAGGACTACATGGAGCAAAGGCAGGTAAATGGAGTTGAGGTACAGATAAGCCATGATCTAATAGAATAGCAGAACAGTCTCGAGAGGCTGAATGACTTATTCCTGTTCCTATGATCCCAAAGTAAATGGTCTGTTGTGATCTGTTTAACGTCGCAGCATTCCCTCCCTTTTTCGCCTCTCTCTTTCGCTCTTTCTGGGACGCTGCCCTGCTTGAGGGGCGCTATATAAATGCAAGTTGTTGTTGAAGTTGTGGTTGTAATGTCCCTTCCGTTGATTTCCTTTCACTGAATGACTGAGCCAGGCCCAGAAGCACAGAAAGTCTGCAGTACAAACAGTGGGCAAACAGTAAACACCTTCAGTGTCAAGACTTCCCTGTTGTGTGGGGGTGCCCATCTTAGGTCCCATAACACAGGGGCTGCCTTAGTGAACAATGAAATGAAAAGCTCCTATGTTAGTGAGTGCCAGGCTCACCATAAGTAAAGCACCATGTGCGTCTGTACAAATATCTGCAGCAGTTAGGAGGCGGATCTTTTTCTCGTGCTAACGAAATTGGTGAAGTGTCTGGTAATGTGTGTTGTCATCTCACACAGTAACTTTTCCAGTGTTTCAGTTCAATGTGAACCTTGTTTCCCTCCAGCAAGGTTCCCTCCCTGTCTGTTTAAACTGACAGAACAGAACTGGCTTAAGCTTCATCCAGTGTCTGGGTAGTAACTGCACTGATGCCAGAGAATGTCCCAGCCTTTGTCAAGGAGAAAGTGAGAGCGACGAGGAGGGGGAGGCAAAGAGAGCAAGGGATAGAGTAAGGGCAAGAGAGACAAGGTGAGATTAAGAGAGACAGCGTGAGTGAGAGAGACAGAGCGGGAGAGACAGTCTGAGCAAGAGTTATGGAGAGAGAAAGCAAGAAAGAGAGAGGCAAAGAGGGAGGTGAAGGGAGAAAGAGAGATAATAAGAGTTACACAAACGCATATAAACACAGAAAGAAGGTATAAATCTGGGAATGTATAAACCCCTAAAGCTGTGAGCACCATGTCTGGAGTGAGTTACTTCCTGCTGTGTGATAAGCAGTTGCAGAGCTGTGGAGCTGTGATTGTAATGTAAATCTTGCCCAGATATAAACCCGTTGTCCTTTGTGTAAGAGCAGTAATCTCTGGTAGTCTCTTCAGGCATCAGACAAGGACACCCCCACCCAGCAGGGAAATCTTGTCACTGAAGGTGTTTACTGTTTGCCCACTGTGACATTCTCTCTCCCTGCATATGCTCCTTGCTGGTCTGAGACAGAACCTTGTCTCAAAGAAGGAACAGACAGCACAGCCAACCCAGCCCATCGGCAGAACTTGGAGGGGCTGTCCAGTCACTGGGAGCATGGAATCCTCTCACTCAGCTCCTGTTAACCCTGCAAGCCAAAGCCCTAACAGGTCGGGTGGTCCTCATTTTGGTTAAAGCCTCAGAGCAATAATAATTATAATAATAATCATCATCATTCACCCATTCTGTCCTGATCCCAACATCTGGCAGAGGCCACTGGATAGCCATTGGGATCCCAGGCTGATTTTCCCAGCTATTATCCAGGACCAGTAAGGCCATTCTATGTCCTCTCCCCCTCCCTCCCCTTCTTGACACTTAACTCAGTATTGAACCTGGGCTTTCGTTGCTCTGTATGGCTCAGTACAGCACTGGGTAATCTATTTTCATGACCTCTGGGGAGTAATTTGATATTTAAAACACAAAGGATAAGCTCTGCGAGTTGCTAATGACTAACACATGGCAGAGGTATCAAGCCTCTGACTGAAAGTTATTGAGTGAGCAGATGGAAATAGATATGGCCTCTACACTGGCATTCAATTGCACTTATCCATGAGGACAGAGATGACATACAGTATTAATTACAGCCATCTTTCTCCTATCAATGACTTTGAGCTCACAGTCTAGGTTGACACTGCTGGAGAAGCGCTGCATTGTTGGAGTGCATCATTTTTTGGATGAGATAATAATAATAATCATCGCATTTGATATAGCGCTTTTCACGTCTTCTCGACGTCTCAAAGCACTTCACAGAATAGACTGTAAAGTGAATTGAGTGTATATTTGTGGGCGAAATGTGGCAGCCAATTGCAGTATCCCACAAACAGTCGACCAATTTATCATTGTTTTTTTCCTTGAGGGATTATTATCAGATGTGTGGAGTAAGGAAACTTGCCCAACGTTTCACCCTGCCGGGAATCGAACCCAGGTCTCTCTCTTGCAAAGCGAGTGCTCTAACCACTGAATTAAAGCAGTCTGAGATGCTGCCCTGCCTGAAATGCACTGTATAAACACAAGTTGTTATTGTTAAATCGAGGTCCCCATCTACCGGTTCAGATGGACGTTAAAGATCCCACGGCAGGATTTGAACAAGGAGTTTTTCCCAGAGTCCTGGCCACTGCTTATCCAGATGATAATAATAATAATCCTTGCATTTTTTTTAAGGAATTATTACCCCAGGAAAAGTGATCCGCCCATCGACTAACAACCGGGTTCCTACTTACTGCTAGGTAAACGGAGGCGTGTGGAGTAAGAAAACTTGCCCAATATTTTGCCTTGCCAGAAAACAACCGAGGTCTCTCAATTGCGAGGCGAGTGCTCTAACGACTGAGCTACAGGACTCCAGATGATTTAAAGCAACTAAGATCTTGCACTGAAAAAGAACCGAGTGAAACCAGGTGCACAAAAGATTGTCTGGGCATTCTTGAGGGGTCTGTGCTCAAATGTAACACAGACTGAGGAGTAAAATGCCCCTTTGCTAGGCTGACTGTGCGGATCTAACAATAAGCCATTTTGGGTCATCTCCTCCCAGCTACCACTTGGCCCCGATCCACTGAGCAGAAGAACTAAGCTTTGCTCGGGACAAGTTGGTAGGAAACTGCCAATTGCACTGAAAATGGAAACGTTAACAGTGGAGAGGTCAGGAGACCTCATCACATTGAACCACCTCGAACGTCACAAGCAATAGGGGCAGCGAAGGGCACATCTGTTCATCAGCATCAACATCCCTTCCCTTCGCGACTAAAACAAATGAATAATAATCCTCGCATTTGATGTAGTGGCTTTCACGTCAGGAGGATGTCTCGCTCAATATATTCAGACTACACTGTAAAGCGGAGTGACTATATATAATGTGCCACAAAGCACACTGATTCAAAGCAGGCAACTCTCCCACAGTTAAAATATGTTTGTGAATTTCTGAAGCAGATGGGAGCAATATTTCCCATCCAAACAGGCTGGTATTCATTCAGAAATCCTTCAGGGAATTGGATTGTGCAACCTATTGCAACACCACTCTTTCGCTTCTAGATCTTGAATTGAAATGCAGTTTAGACTGGAGAAAGCCGGGTAACACTAACTCTCTTTGACAGATGGTAAGCGTCCCTGATTGAAATGAACTCAACACGTCTCCACTGTATTCCCTGTGGACCTCAGGCACAGGACTGAAGTATGTGCAGATATCTTACATTCCTTCAGAGCCTCGCTTTGGCTAGTGCTTGGACTTTC